TACAGTGTCGGTGCGCGCATGTTATTATCAACTTGTGGACAATGGAGGAATACAAGAATGAGAGAATTTGTAACTCGGGTGATCTCGCGGTTAGCTTTTCTGTTCAGTCTCATTTTGCGTATCGGAAACACATGCGTTGTGCAAACTCTAAAAAACAGTTATGCTGTACGAAAAACTATCAATAATATACCTCGTCTCACCTCAAAACGGTTTAATAGAAAGACAAATGTCTCAATGACTGTTTGTGTTCAGCGGCTCATTTCCACAGATTTACGGCTTCCTACGAGGTTATATCATTTTTTTAAAAATTCCTTGTCTTCTTCGATTCTGACCCCTAAATCCCGTTTCCTCGGTTCTCGATGGTGTCATTCTACTTTACTTCCTATTTGTCACCAATACTGGCCTGATTTCTCAGGGGTTTCCTGCTATTCAGGTTTGCACAAAACTGAAAAGCAAGTTATTTCTGGCATTTTAAGAATAACACGTTAATCTGCCTTTCTGTCGACCGCAAACGTGTTTTTTATGCTGCACTGTACTTTGCACCGCATCATTCTGACATGAAGTCCACATTTTTGATGACTCACCTTGGATTTGGTATCCACTGAAAACGTTTGTATTCAATTATTTCTTCTACAGGTAGCTTCAAGCCTTTCCAATTCTCCAGGAGTTGGTGAGCGAAAATAATTTCCGAACTCAATAACGTCAAGAAAATTGCATACGTGGTTAAAAAGGAAGCTGCTGCATATTATTCCTACCACTCAGACTGTGTCCAAAGTAAACTGACCGGTCTTCTATTCACCACCTGATACCAATTGACGTTCTCTCGTTGCTTGCCCATTGCCATGTAGATGACTCCTCTTTTTTCCTATAAGTGTTTTTATGATTTTGGTTCCTCGCAGTTTGAGACAGTGTTATCGATTCACGGGCATGCAGTCTTCTTTCTCATCCACAAGTGCTAACGAGGCCCGGAAACCAGCACCGACGTAATGTTGTCACAAAAGGTCTTCAAAGGCCTGTCAGAATCAGTTTGTGGATCATCAAACCGCAACCCCGTTCCGCCCAATGTCCCTCGGTTACCCATTTAGTCAAACAATGAAAGGAGGGGCAATACTAAACACGAAGCCAGTCACAGTAACACAACAATATAAATGTGTTTGTATGTCAAAATTGAGTAGCAGATGCACGTGCGATACTGGTCACGACAATTAGTGATTGATTAAACTGGTCATTTGGGGCCTCCAAGAGTGAAGTCTAATGTGTACAAACTATCACTGCATGCTTTAACTCTTAATGCAGTGACGAACGGTATGAATGAAATAATTTTTATGAGCGAGATAACCAGATAGACAGAGAGATGATTACGATGATGACAAACATTTTAATTTTCCCCCAACGGTAACCGCGAAAAAGTGGAAGCATCAAATAAATTTTCCTAAAACGTATTTCGAGGGCATGAGCGCTGCCATCCGCAACGGGAATCCACATTTCTGAATTAAACACAGATAGAGAACGTTTGAAACTCATAGACAGGCTGTTTGATGTAAACATACTCATCGTGAACTATAAGACAATAAATGACCATGAAAATTTCCACACACACACACACACTTGACTATTCGAGTAACGCAGAAATCATATTGCGCGATTGAATTCAAGATCATTTCCAGCGCCACATCGACGAGTATTAGTGTGTGAGACAATGCCAGTAACAGTTTTGTAGACCCGATGTACCTTCTATCTAACGGACTGATTTAGGTATGTGATGTGAGTAACTCATGACACAAGACATAACCACCCAAACACTTCAACGTTATGAAACCCACTTTTGACCCAGTCATGGAAAACATGACTGCACTGGAATATTCGATTCGGGAGATGCTACCCTATGTCAAGTAAAACCTGATAAGAACAGATTAACAGTTGTACATCGGATGATCCAGCAAAGATAAATTGAGCTATTTAGAGAGACCGAACGATATGCTGGATGCAGGAGAGCGTGTCAGCTTCTATATCACACTGGACTGTGGAGAACACGTTCGGGCTATGATGGCTGCTGCGTTGATGCATGATCAATACAGTTCGGTTGCATCTAAGGTGCAGCCAGAGATGTGAACCTGGTGCGTGCAAAACAAGCAACTCAATCGATTTGTTTTACACAATGACAAGGATATGTATAAGCGGATTCGCCATGCAGATTCACCGCAGCACAGTCTATGAAAATTATCGTGTCATCCGCTTTTCCTATCCACTACATGGAAACTGACATATTTCACATGCTGACGGAACCAATAGAAGATTCACGAATGATGTGGAGGTACGAGGAATTCTACGAAGTGACTGGGCAAAGTCATCATCATCATCGTACAACGAGATACAATGAAGCGAACTTCACTGATCGCTGCCAAGCTCACAATGTACACAAATCAAGTGATAAAGCACAAGATGGAGAGGGATTGGGCCTACTCCGAGGGAGGCAAAGAAAAAGAACCTCTATGGTCAACACAGTACACAATCTAAGTGTGCACACAACTTTTCAAGCATTCTGACCTGATACGGAATGACAACAAGAACGCCACTGCTGTCAGTTAGTCGCCATATCCTCCAGTGTCTCTAGCCAGCCAGTTGCAGAGTCTTTCGAACCCCAACCTGGAAGACGGGAGACACCGATTCTATCCAATTGCTCTGTGCATTTCTTCATGCCTCACTTCCACGTCATCTGTTGACCACCACGCGGTTTCTTCCAACCTAGAGACGCAACTGCGAATAAGGCGCGGTGCGGCAGACGATGACTGGACATGCGCAATATGTAGCCGACTAATCTGAATTCGATGGGACAACGAATTCTCCATCGAATCATTACCTAATACGAGACGCCTCACTTCAGAGTTGCTAACAAGCTTGCTCCATCCAACCCGCGCAAAACTACGTAAATATATGCAGTCGAATACTTCAAGACGACTAATATCTTCCACGCGCAAATTTCGGGTCTCGCAACCACAGCAGAACTGGCCGCCCACTGGCGCAGTATGCGCGACCTTTCAGTTTCAACGAAACATTGCGTCTACATCAAAGGTGTTTCAATCCTGCGTAAGCTGCTCGAGCCTTGGAAAGGCAAAGTACACATCTCTCGTCCGGCAGGATGCGGCACAAATGATCTAGCAATAGGTTCAATGAGGATACTAAAAGACAGAAGAGAACTGACAGCAATGACATTTTTGTTGTCATTTCTAATCAGATCAGACTGCACGAAGAGGTGCGTATATGCAATGGGGCTGTGTACTTTTTGTGTTGACCATATTAGCCCTCCATCCTCAAGCAGACTCTCTCTCGCTCTCTCTGTCCACCCCAAGCATTCGCATTACTTGGCACAGATTGTGAATTTTTAAGCGATCAGGGAGGTGTGTTTTCCCCTGTTCCGCGGTCTTATGATGAAGATGATCCCTAGTGGCAAGCAATGAAGGAAGTTACCAGGTAACCGAGCTAAGTGAGTTGGAACACCTTGAGAGGGGGTTATTGTCCAGGTATGCGCGCCTATAACCACTGTGGTTGATTATATCATAAAAGAGCGAGCATTCGATAGAGGATTAGGTAAATGTATGCCCAGTTTAGTCCGGACAAGTGTTAGCCTCACGTTTCATCGTTTTACATCTGGTTTTCATCTTTCAGTGGTCAGTTAGGAGAAACTTTAAAAGAATGGATAGGTTAGTGGAAGTTGCACTAGAGATGATGCAAGCAGATAAACGTACAAGCACACTGGTCTGGACTTTAGACCTTTTACCGTGTCGACCGGTTTAGTTGTTCTTCTTCTTCCTTTTCCTACCTTTTATTGAATATAGAAAAGAACAATTTTCAGGAAGGGGGAAGCGGCCAATCAAAGGGCTGCCATTCAACACACAATGGGTAAAGTCAAGCGGTTGGATTTGAACACACATCCCTGGGGTGATAAGTTGGTGACGTTACTACCGGGCCACCACCGTCCAACTTAATACCACATGCATCTTACTGTCACTATGTGTGACTCGCTACTCCATTTTCTGGATCTAGATTGCCGGCTATCATCAATGAGAAATAGTAGGTTGTCGTGACTAGTATTTGGTTTGTCCCTTTTGCTATTCATTAAACAAAGATGTGTAATAAAATGAAATTTTACACTCAGGAGGTCCGAGAAACGTAGTTGCACCGTTAGTCACTTTCAAATGACTAGTCAACACTGGTTCTACATCAGAGAGCTTCTCGTTTGAGGTAGTAATCTACTGGATAGAATAGCATTTAAATGCACATCAGTTAGAGGTCCAGGTCGTGTCTCCAGTAGCCTTTAGACAGTGCACCCGTAATTTATGAGAAGGTATGTACAATAGAATTTCTATTGATTAGAGAAGAACTGAAACCGACGCCTTGGTTGTTGGATAGCCGGTCTCATCTGCTCCAACTGTTAGTTATCAACTCACATACGATGATCAAAATCCGACGTGTCTTCACAATAGGATATATCACCGCTACGATTACACCAGGAGTAAGACATATTGATCACTAAAAAAACTGTAAGTCAGATCACAGAAAGCTATAAACTACTGAGATTTTCCAGGCATGTCAGAAATTTGGGACATGAGATCTATTTTGCGAATGGGTGGGTGTATGCATGTGTTGAACTACAAAAAAGCAGATCATTGCAACAACTCAAAAAAGAATTGAAGATCAGGAGGTCATACATGAGAGATTTATTTGATGAACTGAAAAATTTACTTATTTCATGTAGAAGTATCATAAATGAAGTAGAGACAACGCAGTCACGGAGCTTGGTTGTACAAATCAGTCTACGCGGTAATCACGTTGGATGGGAAATAAATTTTACATGAGACTAATGGAGGATTTGATCCAATGTCAAAAAGAGAATTCGTCGTGTATAGAGCAAATGAAGCGTAAACTGAAAAGCTAGGAAGCACTGTACAGCTGTTTTGACCTGTTTGAGTGTCATGAGCACTGCGAATCCGTCGATCCAACTGGGGGACCTCACAGGCAGAACGCAAGCACAGTATCCACTCAACCACCATCTTCTAAACTGCGTTGAAAGTCATAAAATAAGACAATTGGCATACCATAGGACAGTTGTCTATCAACATTCCCGAATTAACAGCCAGATCATATGCCGTTGATGATACCTCCCAGTCAACGCCTAAATTTCACCAGGTATCGCTGTTGTGTTGAAACAAGCTCCTGGTTCAGATGCGATCATCCAGATTGTTCCGAGAATACGCACAGCAGGAGTAAATCAACTTGTAAGTTACTTCTTATTTTATTTATTCACGCAATCGCCAATGAGGTTTCCGATCGCGTCATTCTATCGGCCACATAAAATCCCTGCTTCCTCGCCAATGTTTAGCTTTACTCGCAGGTCATGGATAATCGTATCTGCTTCCCCAGACGTCCGGCCATCTATCGATGAGGATCAATGGAACTGAGCACGAACGATTTTGCTTTGGTTTTTGGGTCGAAAACTTCGATAACACATAATGTTCATTTCAATCGTTAGGACTCTATAACAGAAACAGCCCATGAGTATAAGCGTGTCTCAAGGTTCAAATCTTTGTGCTTCATCCTCTTCTTCCTCCCCATCATTATCATCGCACAACGTTCATCATAAATCCTAACTCGATTCACCAGTTTACTGAGGATAATAACCTATAATGTTTACTCTTGTATTATTCACGACTGATATGGCCATACAGTTGCTCCCATTTACAATATTGCGAATATCTGAATTGGACGATTCAAAGAACCACGCTCCGGCATGTTATTCTACTCAGAAAAAGTTCCAGTCTATCCGAGGATGGAAGAGGTCTGGTTCTTGCCTTAGAGCGGGCTCTCGTCAAGGGCGTTCCTTAAAGCATCAGCTCTGTAAATCGTACCATCGTGGAGAGGAGTTTTTCATTAGTGAGAGCAAAAGGTCAAAATTGGGAGTCATAACCGGGTTAAAGTTCCATGGCAGCCAACTGATCGAGAGGCTGAAAAAAACCTCTCAAGAGGAGACTCCAGGATATCCCAGTGGCGATGACTACCGGTTTGGTTATAAGTATCGGGTACTCTGGACCTATGAATCAAGCTCGAAGAGCGTATGATTCAACTGACTGGAAACCTGTCTCCAATGAACTGCGGTCTTTGCACACACCGCCCTGTTACCTTGCAATCCAGTTTTAGACTCCAACAGTAAGTCACACTACTAATCGTCTGTTTTGGTTTGGGTACCCTAGCAGTACTCCACCTACGAACAAACCATAGGTCGACTTCTGGGCTGGAAAGATTATTAAGCTTAGATTTGCTTCACACAAACAAACGTGAAATACTACCCATTACCGAAAAATATTGTTTTTTTTCATCCACCGGATTGTGTTTCTCATGTGTAACTGAGCATCTTTTGTATATCACGCAGGACTTCTTAAATATATACATCGGTAGTCTTTCCATGCGGTTATTAAACTAAAAAAAAGAATTGACTGTGAACAACAAGGCGATCATTTTTAACCATACAGACGATACACGTTACGGTGAATTTCGTCGTGTACAGAAGAAAGGAAGCGTGAACTGAAAAGCTTGGAAGCACTGCTGGACAGCTACTTCGATCTGGTTGGGTCCAATCAACAGTGTGAATGCATTCATCTAACTTGGGATCGAACCTGGGATCTCACAAATAGGAAGCAAGTATTTCGACGAAATTTACTATATATATGAATCCAATCTTCCATTATGACCACTCATCACAATAGATAGTTTCGTGGTTTTCAACTTCAACAGGCTTTGTAACAGTTTTTTTTTCAAGTTTGTACAATCATGCACGAAAGTGCATGATGGCTACCCATTTGGATTTAAAGGTAGCAGAAACCTGCAGTTACGAAACGTGAGAAAAAGAAGGAGGAATACAATACTATCGAAAACTCGGAACCACAAAGCAGTGTTGTTGAACATGTTAACGACCGGATAGTATGAGGAAGAGAATAGGGAGTGGATACAAATACTTTCACCACTCACTACTGTGTGATGAGAAACAGAATGGGTAAACCCCATAAACATGAGGATCGACTTTGCACCCGTGGGAACCACCAGCCTAAGTCCCGGCACTTGGAATGGCGAACCGCATAGAGCCGCACTAGCATAGGCCTGGTACTGAGCCGAGCAACGACGAAGCTGACTACTACTTTTACCTTCTATCACTGTTCACTCAGTCTAATTCAGCATACCAGATGGTGTTTCTGGAGTCTGAAACGGGTCTGATAGCAAAGATGGATAGTGTCCAGTGGAATTGGAGGAACAATGATTCAACAAGGCACATACATCTGCTTGGTGCTATCATCAAACTCACTTCGACAGTTTCGTCCGTCCCTGCGTGGACCAATTGAAATCACATTTGATGGTGTCCAGGGGATCAATCGGTCGGCAAATGTTCCCATCAATCTGAGGAGAGATCATACGCGATGAATTTCACCAGAGAGACAGTTCTGAGAATATTCAATGGCACCCACGTGTGATGCTCCAATTAACCAGATAGTAAAGGTGAATTTAATGAAATAGTTGTTTGCGGCTGACCACCAATCTGCGAGAATTGTATTATTCAGCCATGTCCCACGCTTGTGACGCTTGCGCGATAATCAGTGTGAGAAATATGATGACTAGCGCCACATGAATTACCTCAGTTATTAACAGTGCGATAGGGGAGGGGATGGATAATCACCGCGAAATTAGCATCACCGATTAATCAATATGAGTGATTGCGTGAAATTAGTATGGTGCACGTACGGTGTACAGTTGGAGTGTGATCACTAAACAGACTGACAAAGATAACAACGACAAGCAAAAGGATAAACACCTTATCATCAGGGCAAACGCCAATCGACAATGCACAGCTCATTTTTCAGGTGTTAGAGTGAGAAGCAAAAAAATGTATTTATTTTCATTGATTTTCTCCGTTTGAAATGACCGAGGAGGTGGGGGAGGCACCTATCTATTTCGTGATTACATTAAACCGTATTGTGTCGTCTCCTTTTTAAGGGCATCGATAAGTGCTTGATACCCAGGGGAAACCGTGTCAAGAAGCAGAGAGAGAGAGAAGAAAATGAGCTTTCAATCGAACAGAAGCAACACACATCAGAGTCGACATTCCGCTGAAAAATTATCCTTTTCCACAAGACAAACAGAAGAAGTACTATCACGGAACTGAGCAGGTACGCCACGCGGAATGGATGTGCAGGGTCAGAAAGTAAAACAAACAATGGATTTAGTATGAGGATCACAAAGAGTAACCAGAAATAGCTAAAATAAAATTTAGGGTAGCAACCTTCTCCATGAACTAATTCATAGGTTTTGGAAGAGGATTTGGTAATTCAGCAGGAAAACGCTACGGGCTGACAGAAAAGATAGGCACAATGGCGTGAAAAAATTATCCTTATACGTCCAACTGTTCTAGCTTTTAAGTCCGATACGTTTGGTGTAGCCCTGCATTTCTGTTGTCAAGACAGCGCCAACGATCGCCACAGCTCTCAGAATCATCAAGTCGATGTTATACGCAGGGTGGAAATTGTCGAACCGGTGTGGTTAAACTGTCGAGCTGTGATCAAACAGATTTGCAGAGTTTCTGACTG